ACTGGTTTTGTGGTCCAGGGTCATATATATATATATATATTATATATATATATATATATAGAGAGAGAGAGAGAGCGAGAGAGAGAGAGAGTTACATTACAGCAGGGTAATTTCCAGCTTATTCTACATTTTCTTTTTTCTTTGTTTTTTTTTAAGAAAAACATTTGTAAATAAAATTTTAAACAAACCAAATTGGACAGACAAGGTCACTATGCCAAATCTCTGAATAGAAAACAGCTGATGGAAGATTCTATCAAATTTCTCTTTTTGTGTTACACAGAACAAATAGCAGCACACACGTTTTAAACGACATGAAAATGAGTAAATAATGATAGAATTTTAGAAGTAAAACTATGTGCACATGTCACATTACCTGGCTCAGGCATGGTCCAAGCCTCACATCTGAAGGGAGCGCTAGGGGTCGAGGCATCACCCAGTCCAATCAAATTAGCTCCATAGACCCTAAACTGGTACACTGACCCAGCTGTCAGACCTCCAGTCTTAAGAAGGAACAGTTCATCTTAGTAATTATGTTATGCATATTATATTATAAATCAATCAATATAAGCCGATGTAACAATAACATGCACAGGATGCTGCAATACATGGCCACCTTGTTCAGTCTTTCCTTAATGGGTGGGATGTTGACCTCCTTCCATGTCTTCTTGGCCACATTGCATTTGTCAATGTAATAATCAGTGACCTCTGCTCCTCCAGAATGGATGGGCAGCTTCCAGTTGAGCACCATGGATTCCCCATCACAGTAGAGAAGAGAGATGTCATAAGGGGAAGAGGGCAGCTCTGTGGAGAAGACAGATTGTTTTAACTGGTCCTCCCTACTACTCAGTGTCTTGGACTGAGAGGAACATGCCTCACCTCTGGCTTATAATATGCACATTTCTGAGAGAAGTGTTGTGTCTGAAGCAGGGGCGTAGATTACGCGGGGGACGCGGGGGACGTGTCCCCCCCACTTTTAATATCACATAAATTTGTCCCCCGCACTTTTTCGGGCAAGTGTGTTCGCACAGAGGTTTTCAAGAGCCGGTGTGAATAAATATAGATTTAAATTCAAAGAGACAGGATAGTCTGTGCATGATCTGATGTTTTATTTGGACCCAGAATAAGGCGAGATGAACATCGCGGAGCGCTAAACACTCTGTGCAGTGTATGTTTCATTCATACTCGTAGCCGGAGGGCGCTCTCGCGCAGAAAGTCGTACGAGGAAATTCCTAATATGGACAAAAGCGTCCAGCTATCGCTGTATGAAAACAGTTGTTTTCACAGAAAACAGAAACGTTTGGAAACATGAAGTCATTAAACATACGATTGCGACAATATGGTTTATTTGTGTTTGTCAAGTCATCTCCAGGTAATAAATAAAGTGTATGAACAATGCAGTGCTAACTGACATAGCATTTATTACAGTATTGAAACTATACTGCCTTATTATGTGATAAAAAAAGTGTTTGTAGTATATAAGCAAATCATTATTATTGGTTATTGTCCAGCAGTTATCTAATTTCTAAGCCAATTCAAAGCTAGAAATGAGAGAAAATTTAAAGTTGACTATACACTACCAGTCAACAGTTTTTGATCAGTAAGATTGTTCATGTTTTTTAAAGAAGTCTCTTCTGTTCACCAAGCCTTCATTTATTTGATCCAAAGTACAGCAAAACAGTAAAAGTTTGAAATATTTTTACTAGGCTATAACTGTTTTCTATTTGAATATATTTTAAAATGTAATTTATAGTGATTTCAAAGCTGAATTTTGTTGCATCATTACTCCAGTCACACTATCCGTCAGAAATCGTTCTGATATTCTGATTTGCTGCTCAAAAACATTAATAATAATAATAATAATAATAATAATAATTAAAAAAGGTTTCTTGAGCAGCAAATCAGCATATTAGAATGATTTCTGAAGATCATGTGACACTGAAGACTGGAGTAATGAT